TGGACGTCCAGCCACGAAAGGGCAAAACCACCTGCTGGCTCCAGAATACCAGTTTCTAAAGCTGGTCTTCATAGCCTACTAGTTATGTGACACCACCCCCACCCCCCCAGGATACTTAACCTCCACCCCCACCACCCCAGGATACTTAACCTCTGAGATCCTCACTTTTCATAACTGTAAAATAGGTATAATGGTACCCAAGGTTAAGTGCATGAAAGGTGAGGCTGGACTGAGTGGTTCAAATCCCAGCTCTCCCAAACTAGTTGTGACCTTGGACAGGCTTTTTTTTTTCTCCAGCAGGTGTGGTGGTTAAAGTGTTGGACACTCCCATGGTTTGAGTCCTAGAGCTGGTGGCTTATTTTCTCACTTTCCCCCTCTCTGTGATATGTATGTGTGTGTATGTGTGTATATGTCTGGTCAAATTAAAGTAAATGAATGAATAAATAAAATTAAATAAATCATTATTTTTAAAAAAGAATTACTGATTTAGAGACTGACTGATGGCATGGTGGTTAAGGTGGTGGACTCCCACGTAGCTGACCATGGTTCAAGTCCCAGACCTGGTGGCTTGCTTTCTCACTTTCCCCTTCTCCCTTTCACATAGTCTCTCTCTTTTTTTTCTCTCTCTCTCTCTGTCTCTTTGGTCAAATTTTAAAATATTGGGAGGTCAGCAGGTGGTGTAGTGGTTAAAGGCGCTGGAGTCCCACATCACTGACCATGGTTTGAGTCTCAGACCGGGCAATTTGCTTTCTCACTTTCTCTCTCTCTCTTTCTCTCTCTCTCTCACTCTGTCCCTCTCTGACCAAATTAAAATAGATAAAGTTAAATAAAATAATTATTTTTAAAAAGAAAAATTTTAAATATTGATAATGATAACTAAAATTAAATATTTTTAAAAGAATTACTTTTTAAATGTTATTTATTCCATTCATTTATTTTTAAATTTGACCAGAGAGAGACACAGAGAGAGAGCACGAGAGAGCAAGTGGGAATATCCGGTGCCTTTACCAGCACGCCACCTGCTGGTCCATTGGACAGGCTACTTAATATTTCTTCAGTTTCTTCATGAGAATAAGAATTATGTACTTCATGGAGTTGTTTGAAGATTAAATGAGAATGTAAACTGCTTGACATGATATCTGACATATGGTGTCAATAGCCAGTGTCAATAAACAATAGAAATTATTACTTATTACTCTGATTCTCACCTGCTGGGTTTGGGACTGTGAGAAAGGAGGAATGAAGACTCAGAAATCCCCAAGTCTTAGCACCAGGCAGTTGCCCTTGACATCGTTGGCCCAGGCAGGCAGGTTAACTTGAAGAGGGGAGCAATTCCAAGGAAGATCGAGTGGCCAGGGTGGGCTCTTTTGCTGAAACAGGGCTCTCTAGGAAGGTCTGTCTTATAACCTGGTTCCTCCCTGGTCACCATGAAGGTTTCCCTTAGTTCCAAACCTGTTTTAGCTTTTTGATTCTGACATTCCTTCAGCCGATTTAATCTGTGTGCCAGGATGTGTCCGGGAAGCTGAGGATCCCAGATGGACGGGAGCCTCAGTCTAGGAGAGAATCTTGTTAAGATACGACATGATTTTGTAGGTCTGATCTAAGATAGGACCTGAGAGTCTGTATTTCTAGCAAGCTCCCAGGTGATGCTGATGAAGCCAGTTCACTTTACATAGCAAGATGTAGAGGATTTGACAAACTAGTAGTAGCTCCCACTAGAGACAAAGTCCAGGCTAAGCGCCTGGCAACTTGAGGTGGTCTCCGCCCCCTTGCTCGCTGAGGTTCCCTCCCAGGACTCCGACACGTGACCGTCGACCGCTGTCCCAGACTAGAGGAGCCCTCTAAGAGCTATGGCTCCCAAGAAGCCTCCTGGCCTTCTCTCCCTGCTGCTGCCGCTCCGGACGGACCCGACCCTTGCTCCAGGCCACTGCTGAGCAGGTCTCCTTTTGCAGGCGGACACTCGGTCGTTCGTAGTGGATCGGGATCACGACAGGTTCCTCCTGGACGGGGTCCCGTTCCGCTACGTGTCTGGCAGCCTGCACTACTTTCGGGTACCGCGGGTGCTTTGGGCGGACCGGCTTTACAAGATGCGATTGAGTGGCCTCAACGCCATACAGTTGTAAGAAGTGCTTGCGAGAGCCGTGTAGGGGTGGGATTTACTCTTCCTACCGCCCCCTTGGTTCAGGACAGGAAGACAGAAGACTGGCTTGGTGTGAAGAAGGGTTAGAGCTTCAGGGCTCCTAGGAAGGAGGGTGGGGAAAGAAGGGCGGGGACCTCCTTCCAGCTGCTTCCTGGAGACTCAGCAAGGCCTTAGCCGTTAGTCGTCCTTGCGTCTCCCCACCGTGGACCCTTTTAAACCTCTTCCTTTCTCAGTTACGTGCCCTGGAACTACCATGAGCCAGAGCCTGGGGTCTATAACTTTAATGGCAGCCGAGACCTCATTGCCTTTCTGAATGAGGCAGCTAAGGCCAACATGTTTGTCATACTGAGACCTGGACCCTACATCTGTGCAGAGTGGGACATGGTGAGTCAGTTGGAGAAGGGATAGAAGCAAAGCCACCCATATGTGTGATTCCTAACGACTCTCTGGGGCCATGCCCGGCATTATACCCAATGCCTTCCCTTCTTTCTCCTACTCCAACCTAGAGGACAAAACCATATGTTTCTTTGTTGTCTTTATATTTGTCTCAGGGAGGTCTCCCAGCCTGGCTGCTTCGAAAACCTAAAATTCATCTCAGAACCTCAGATCCAGGTGAGTTGAGACAAAAGTTTTAACCTTGGGGCTGGGCCTGTTACCTAGTGGTTAGAGAAGTCAGATCTCACATGGTCCCCCAGATTGAACGCCATCCTCAGTGGCTTGAGAAACACACTAGGTCCATGTGTGCCTGCTCAAAATCTGGATAGGATGGAAAAATGGAGGTGAAGGGGTGACTACACCCCACTGGGGTGGGGGTGCTTTCCCTTTCTCTGTCTCCTTGCCTTTCTCTGGCAAGCCCATGCATTTTCTAGCACATTTTTTTAAGGGGTATTTTTGCTACAAGGTGCATACGCTCACTGGAGAAACAGAGACAGAGAGACGAAAAGTGAGAAATCACCTCCCTGGGGAATGGCCATGTCACAGTCCCTTCTCCTTCATTCTCCTCTCCGGATTTTGGACGGGCACACGTGCACATGTGCCTGGAGTGAGTTTTAAGCCTCCCCGTTCAGGACTCAACCACAGTCAGCCATGTGGGAATCTAGCAATGTAACCGTTATGCTATCTGCTGGTCCCTCCACTGTAATTTTTCATTTTTGTCAGAGGATACATGTTTGCACAGGAGAGAAACAGAGAAAGAGAGGGAAGTGAGAGCCCACACCCCAGGGACACAGGCCTGCAGCGATCCCTTCCTCCTTTCTTCCTCTGTTAGGGATTTCGGGCATGTATCATACATGCACCCAGCATGTTTTTCAAACAGCCAGATCCGGAACTCAAACCATGTAGTTGACCATGTGGGATCCAGCCTCTTAGATCACCACACCGTAGGCTGGCCCTCCTCTGGCGATTAAAAAGTAGATTTAACACACAAAGAAGGCAAAAACCTGGGTCATTTGGATGCCAAAAACAGAAGAGATCATCCCCCAAATTGGATGTCATTTTTTAAAAATTGCGTGTTGAGGGGCTGCAGGGGGCATAGTAGTTGAGGTGCTAGACTCCCACTTGGCTGACCACAGTTTAAGTTCCAAATCTGGCAGCTTGTTTTCTCGCTTTCCCTTTCTCTTTGTCTCTCTCTGGTCCAAACTGAAGAATAATGATAATAAATAAAATTAAAAATAAATAAATTTCAAAGAAATTCTCTGTGTGTATGTGTGTGTGAGAGAGAGAGAGGTGAGGGTTGGGGGGAGGCAGAGATACAGCTATTTCTGACAAGTTTTCACCATCCTGTGATCTTCTGGTCCCAGCCTGCCAGGTAACTAGAATTACAAGGGCACATCATAGAACCAGGAGTGCTTCAGGGTGGGCCAGGAACCAAACCTGGGTGTCCATGAAGTGTCAGCATCATGCAACAGCACTCCACCACTTGTGCCACCATGGCCTGGCCTCAAATGTTTACTGTTTCCTTCATGCCCAGTAAGGTAGTAGGAACTGGAGGACCAGAGAGACCCAGAATTGCATTCTGTTGTTATAGCGAAAGATACAGATTAAAACAAACCCAAAGGCCAGCCGGTGGCATGGTGGTTAAGGTGGCTGGATTTACATGGCTGTCTGTGCAGTTACAGTCCTAGACCCCACAGCTTGGAACGCATACTGACCATTTGTATATATATGCGCCCAAAATCCCCAAAGGAGAGAGATGGAGAAGGGATTGTGGTGTGGCCACCCCCCCACTGAGGGGGTGATTTCTCTTTTCCTTTTCTCTCTCTGTCTCTCTGTGGTGAATGCATGTGCTCTGCAGCAAATTAAAACAAATAATAATAAATATAATTAAAACAATTATTTAAAAAAAAAAAGAATAGCCTTGGGACCAGCAGTTGGCATAATGGCTATGTTGCTGGGCTTCCATGTAGCCAACGCAGTTCCAGTCCCAGACCCAGTGGTTTAAACTCACGCTGGGTACATGTGCATGCGTGCCCAAGATCCCAAGAGGAGAATGGAGGAGAAGGGATTGAGGCATGGCCATCTCCCCTGGGGGTGATTTTTTGCTCTCTGTCTCTCTCTGTCTTCCTAGCAAGTGCACATACCCTATAGCAAAAACCTATAAAAAAAAAAAAAAAAAAGCCTTTTCTAAGGTGACATTTCAGTTGACTTAGGGAAGGGAAAGCAATGGTCATGTGAAGAATGAGGCAAGAACGTTCCAGTTAGAGTGAACAGCATAGTCTAAGGCCCAGAAACGGAAAGAACATGGCAAGACCAAGAAACTGAAAGCACACCTGAGGCATGGTGGGTGAGGGAGGCTACTGTATGACGGAAACTAGAGATGAGAGAGACGGTTGATGCACTGCCTTGTAGGACACTGTAAGGGGTTTGCATTTTATTCCAGATACAGTAGAAAACCATTGAATGCATTTAACCAGATATGCAACATGATCTGATCTGTTTTAGTGTTATTTCAGCCCTGATGTGGAGAATGGATTGAGGGGTGTAGGATGGAGGTGATGAAACTAATTGGGAGACTGTTACTATGGTTGAGGACAGAGATGATGGTGGTAGAAATTGAAAGAAGCAGGGCCAGCAGATGGTGTAGTGGTTACATTGCTAGACTCCCACAGAGCTGTCACAGTGCGAGTCCCAGACCCGGTGGCTTGAAACTCATGCTGGGCACATGTGTATGCCCAAGATCCCAGGAGGAAAATGGAGAAGGGATTGCAGTGTGTCCTTCCTCCCTCGGGGTGGGGGTGATTTCTCACTTTCCCTCTCATTGTCTCTCTCTTTCTGGCAAGCACATACATCCTTAGGCCAAAACCTCTTTAAGAAAAGAAAAGAAAAAGAAGGGAAGGAGAGGAGAGGGGAGGGGAGGGAAAGGAAGGGAAGGGAAGGGAAGGGAAGGGGGAACAGTTATGAGTTATGGTTTGAAGATAAAAGTTGCAAGGATTTGTTGGTAAATTTTGATTAGAGGAGGAGGGGTTGGGGTGAGGAAGGTTGAGAAAGGAATCAGGTTTCTAGCCAGTCAAGATGGTGGTGCTATTTACTGACATGGGGAGAAAAGAGTGATTTAGGGCCTAGTCCAGATGGCACGGTCCCTAGCATACTGAACCACAGTGCTGGAAGCCATGTGGCCATTGTGGGTCTGGATTCCCAGGGTGGCCTGAAAATGTACCAGGTGCACGCATGGATTCCCAAGATTCTGGGGAGCTGGAGAGCTGGGGAATGGGGATCACAGTATGACAATACCCTGTCAAGGGTGCTTTCTCTCTTCTAATAATAATCTAAAATTGAGTCTTAAATATGTTATTTCTTGGGGCCAGCAGGTGGCATAGTGGTTATGTTGCTGAACTCTCACATGACCAACTGCAGTTTGAGTCCTGGATCCAGTGGCTTGAAACTCACTCTGGCGTGTGTGTGTGCATGCCAACATCCTGAGAGGAGAATGGAAGAGAAGGGATTGTGGCATGGCTGTCCTCCTGGGGGAGAGGGTGATTTCTCACTTTCTGTCTCTCTGTCTCTACAGCAGTGCACAAGTACTGTAGTAAAAAACACTCTCCAGGGAAAAATGGAAGCCATCTGAATAAGAGAATGATTATTTCTTGTTTATATCTTCCCCCCCCCTTTTTAGAATGATTGTTTAATTTTATTTATTAGTATTATTTAATTTGCTATAGGGCACACATGCTCACCAGACACACACACACACACACACACACACACACACACAGGGGTTGCGGGGGGTTGTGGTGAGAAAACAAGCTATCAGGTCCGGGACTTGAACTGTGGTAGACCATGTATGAGTCCAGCACTTAACCACCATGTCACCTGCTGGCTCCTGCTTATGCCTTTTAAAAAGATCACTCTGGCATGTCTCTTGGGAACTCTCCTGGTGCTGTTCCATTTCTTAGGCTGCTGGAGAGCTTTATGCCCCTTATAGCATTTCCCAAACTCAGTTGACTATGAAATATATTTAAAATGATCATGAATTGCTGGAATGCCAACAGGTGGTCTGTGCTTTGCTTCAGAAAACCAATGGCATTTGCACGCTCAATCCATGGTGAGCTCTTAGGATAAGCTGCATATGCTTAGTTCTTTCTTCAAAAATCATCAGGAAGTAAGTGAGTGAATGTAGAAGAATTCGCTCTGTGTGGAAATCTGAGAAACAGAACTGAGTGTTCCTTCCTAATCTCAGTTACACAAAAAAGAGACAATTCTTTTTAAAGAATTATTTTATTTTATTTTATTTATTTACTCAATTTGACGAGAGAGGGACAGAGAGAGAGAGAGAGAGAAAGTGAAAGTGAGAAAGCAAGCGGTCAGGTCTGGGAGTCAAGCGACAGTCATTCATGTGGGAGTCCAGCGCCCTTAACCACCACACCACCTGCCGGCCCCTCCCCCAGTCTTGTCTCTTCTCAGTCTCCTACTGGGTCTTCATCTTCCTTTCTACCAAATGCAAGAATGTTTCAGGCTACCTATTCTTGTTTCCCAGGTGATCTTATCCATGTGCTTGGCTTTAAATTTCATGTAATAGCTAATGACCCTGAAATCTGTATCTCTAGCCGGGACCCTTCCCTTGACTTCCAGCCTATGTATCTAGCTGCCTACTTGACTTCTCCTCTTGGACAAATAGAAGACACAATACAATTAAGCGCCTGGCAGGGCCTCCCAAAGAGCTGTCCCTACAACCTCGTTAGCGGCAACTCCATTTTCCAGCTGAGTGAGCTAAACACTACAAAATCTTTCACATTGCACCTCTCTCTCACACCTCATATTGGATCCATTAGAAGATCCTGTCGGCCTTGCCCTCAAAAACATTGAATTAAACTACTTTTTATCACCCTACTGCTACCACTCTGGTCTGAACCACCTTTCCCAGTTGGCTGATTCCCTTGTTTTGTCCTCACCCCTATATTGTTCTCATCATAGCAACCGGTGTGATCCTGTTAAAATATAAGTTTAAAGATAGGTCTGGCGGGGCCGGCAGGTGGTGTGGTGGTTGGGGCA